TTAGTGAAAAGAACGGCGGGGGGCCTGGTTCTTTGTCGGTTAGTACATGCTAGTGGGTTAAACGTGCACTTTCCCCGCCCTTTCCATTTCCATGCATAGAACTATGTGGAGACTATGTCCACCTCCTGCGGGGAGTCTGGTCTCCGTACCCGCAGGGATGGTTTGACGTAGGGTTTGATTTGGTTTGCATGCACCCATTTGTAGACAGGCTCCTGTCTAGCTTTGGTGATGCGTAACCTGTATGCAACTGGAGAGAGTTTCGCCACAATCTCAAATGGTCCTGACCAGCAGGACAGGAACTTCTTAGCTCTGCCTGCCGGTTGTGCGAACCGGAAGTAGAATACTTTGTCACCCACCTCGTATTCGCGGCTGGTTGTCTTTTGGTCGTAGTAGGCTTTAGCGCCTTCTACGTTGGTCTCCAGTTTCTTCTGAGCGTGCGCGAACGTAGCTCTGAGGTGCGTTTTCAAGTCTGCCACATACTGATGAGCAGTATAGGCAGTGGCAACACTGACATCCTCTGGGTGATGCAGGAGGTGCAGTGGTAGAGTCATCAATCTGCCGGTCATCATCTCAAAGGGCGTAACCCCCTTGGATCTCTGGGGAGTGGACCATATGGCCATCAGGACCAGAGGGAGCTTAACGTCCCAGTCCTTCCCGGTGGAGCAGACGTACTTTTTGAGCATGGAGACGACCGTGCGGTTCATCCGTTCGACCTGTCCGGATGACTGTGGGTGATAGGGGAGGTGGAATCTCACTTTCACTCCCAGAAGTTCAAACAGGGACGTCATTACACTGGATGTGAAATGAGTTCCCCGGTCAGAGTCAATGCAGAGTGGAAGTCCCCAACGACTGAAAACGTGCTTAATCAGCAGTACAGCGGTCGTGACAGCTGTGTCGTTTGGCGCTGGAAGGCACTCCACCCACTTTGTGAAACTGCAAGTTACAGTTAGCATATATTTGTTTCCTCTTGCCGATTTGGGAACCGGTCCAACCCAGTCGATCTGCAGGTGGGACCAAGGGAAGGTTATTCCCCTGCAATGCAGTGGTGCTCTAGCAAGCGGCTGGGATGGTTGAAACTGGGCACAGATGAGGCAGCCCTGGACATAGCTGTGTACGTCCTTGGACATCGACGGCCAATATGCTATTTCTGTCAGTGACGCGAGGGTAGCTTTTGCTCCGCGGTGACCTCCGACCGGAGTGTCGTGGGCGTATGCAAGCATTACTCCTCTGTGGTCGAGTGGAACAACCCAGCGCGGCGGGCTTTGGTCACCATGCATGTAAACAAACAAATCGTTTTGTAGTTTCAGGTGTGCGAGCTGACGATGCAGGGTTACCAAATCTCGGCTTGCGCCAGTAGGTGGTGACGGTTGTTCAGGCATCGGCCCCTTTTGGAGAAGCTCGCGGATGAGTTTCAGGTCAGGATCTTGTTCCTGCATGGTGACTAGGTCCGCGTCCTGTGGTTTTCTGCCTAGAAACACAGGTACCCCAACGGTCCGAGGTTCGTCTGCCTGTTTAGCATGGCGACGAGTAATCGCGCAGACCTCGTGAACGGCCTTGGGTGGAAGCCACTCGTCTTTGAATTCCCAGCAGGTTACCTGGTCAGCACCGAGCTTAGCAAGGCGGTCAGCTTCGTCATTACCATCTTTCTCCGGACCTAGGGTCCTGGAGTGACCTTTGACCTTTTTCCAGTAGACCATTATGCCTTTCTCGGTGGTGAGCAGATCACACGCTAGGAATAACTCCGAGTGTTTCACATCTCTGTTCCTGGCGTTTTTCATGTGGTTCTCCTTCCACCTGGGGAAGTGAGAAATGAAGCTGTGTCTAGCGTAGTTTGAATCTGAGCAAAGGACGATTTGAGTGATGTCCAAGGCTGCCGCCTGCTGGAGGGTTATCAACACTGCAGCAATTTCGGCATACTGACTAGACTTTTGGCCCAACCGGTAGTGATTTGGTTGCTTAGTGTCACAGTCCACCCAAACGACTCCAACCCCAGCACGGAGCTGGCCTTCGTGAAGGTAGGCGCACCCGTCAGTGTAGACTTTCGGAAGCCCTTGGCAAACATTTTCATCAAAGTAGCGATGATTGGATGCAGTTGGGTAGACTGCGGCAGGTGTGTCCAGGGGGCCCATGACGGAGTCAGAGTCACAGTGCTGGCAGCCTGCTAGCCCTTGTCCTAGCGCTAGCTTGGTGTTCTGACCATACTTGACCTCAATGTTGTATCCTTGGAGCACCATCATCCACGTCGCAATGCGGCTGTTTGACACTCTTCCTTCGCGCAGTCGCTGGCTATTTAGGAAGGTGATGGGCTGATGACACGTTTCAATGATCACTTTCTGTCCACCGATGTAACTACGAAAGTGTTCGATGGCCCAGACTGTAGAGAGGAGAGCTCTCTTGCAGTCTGAGAACTGGAGTTCCACCTTGCTCAGAGGCTTGCTGGCGTATGCCACAACTCTCATGTCCTGATCGTGTTTCTGCTTCAAAGCAGCGCTCAGGCAGTGAGAGGAGAAAGAAGCCTCTATGTAGAACTCTTTATCCTTGTCTGGGTAAGCCAGACAGGGTGCGGACGCCAACTTCTGTTTTAGGAACTGGAAGGAGAGTTCATGGGGTCTGTCCCACACGAAAGGTGTGTCGTTCCGGAGCAGCTCAGTGAGGGGCCTCGCTATTTCAGCGTACTCCTCAATGAACTGCCTGGAGTAGTTGCAGACTCCGAGGAAGCTCCTGAGTTCAGTCAGAGTAGCTGGGGCTTTGATGTCCTGAATGGCCCTAATGCGTCCCGCGTGGGGCTCGACACCATTAGGGCCCACCAGCAGTCCAACATACTCCACTTTGTTTCTACACCACTGTCCTTTGAGAATTGCCAATTTAGCTCCTGCGTCAGCGAGCTATTGCAGCACGTGACGGAGTTCGGCCAGGTGCTCCTCGAAGGTTCGACTCCTCATCAAGATGTCGTCGACATATATGAGGTTCCCTCTGGAAGCAGCATCTGACATGGCTTTGTGGAGGAAGATGTTGAACTCGGCAAGTGAGTTAGAGTAGCCAAAGGGGCAGCGGTTCCAAGTATACTGGCGATTTCCAAAGGAGAAAGCCAGTTTATACTGGTCCGCCGGCTCAACCTTCATGGTCCAGAAGCCGTTGGCTATGTCAACAGTAGAGAAGAAACGAGCATCTCTGACTCTGGCTAGCTCTTGATCTAAATGGATCATAGGCCACCTTGAGAGAGGTACTTGTTTGTTCAGTGCACGATAGTCTATGGTGAGACGCCATTTCCCAGTCGGTTTCAGAACCGGCCAGATGGGAGAGTTGTAAGTGGAGTTAGACTCTCTGATGATGTTTTTCTCCTTCAGCTGATCGAGGATCTCCTGGATCGACTCATAAGCAGCGAGGGGAATCTTGTACTGGCGTACAAAAGTAGGAGGGGCATTCGGGTTCGTTGGAATGCGAACCGTGTGCAAGTTTGTGTGTCCACAGTCCAGGGAGTCCCTGGATAAGATGGACTGAAACTCATAGAACAGGCTCTTAAGCTCTGCTCTCTGCTCCTCTGATTCCAGCGCATCCGCTTTGTCAAGCTGCTGGCTGACTTCGGCCTTGAAGCCGTCATAAGGTTCAGAGGAGGAGGGTCTCTGGTGTTCCGGGCTTTCAACCGGTGACCCAGATGGTTGAGTGTTTATTGCAAAAACCATTAGACACTGACCACCGTCAGTATCTAAGATTGCACTGCAAATGGGTTCCTCAGGAAGGGCTTCATGCCGCTTGATGGTAGTCATTTGCGAGGGGAAAGTACTGAATGTGTCTGCACCAATCTGTCTGTCGTTCACGAACAAAGGAAGTTGTCCGATTACGGGGACTGAAAGTTCGAAGTCATGGAAAGAGCTATCTATCAGCATGCCCAAGGGCTTTCCTGCCGGCAAGTGGATAGGACTCCGGGTCGGATTTTCGACCAACAAGTAGGCAGAACGATTGTTCAGCTCCAAGAGTGGTGTGCCACAGACGGCTAAGTTGAGCTCCAAGAAATGTGGTGATGGCTGGAAGAAGGCTTGGGTGCCTGGCAGCTTCTGATGCTTCATCAGAGTCAGACGAACAGGCACTCCTTTGACCCGTGGGGGCAGAACCGTGCTGGCCTCAACCACTGCTCGGCAGGCCTGTGGAATGGTCTGTCCGGACAGCAGGTGTTCAGGGCCTTCTGAGCGAGGCTCAGATGATGGTGTGGCCCGGGCCCAAAGGACTTGATTGCAAGTGTCCAGCTGGGCACCTAGTCAAACCAGCAGGTCTGCTCCAATGAGTGCAGGTGGCTCAAGCTGTGGTATGATGCTGAATGTATGTGTGAGCTGTCTTGCTCCAAGCTGGATAGTCAGAGAGCAGACCTCTGGCGCTTTCAGGAGCCCCTGCGGCCAAGTAGGTGACAAGAGTCGATGACTACGTGTCACACTGACCAGCCGGGGGTCCTTCTGACGCAGGTGTTCAAACGTCTGCTGGCTGATGGCTGACTTTTCCGACCAAAGAGCAAGGCGAGCATCTGAGATGTGGGTGCAGTTGATGGTGAGACCACCAACTGTGTGGCGCATATGGCTGCAGGCTGACGTTCGTCAGCGAGCAGAGAAAAGATGAATGTGTGCGGAGAGGAGTTCCAGGAGCGGTGTTGTGCCTTTGCAGGCGGACATCGTCTGTGGGAGCCGTAGGGAGGGGCATGACCTTGGAACAAGGGTTTTGCGGCTCACTTAGGCTGACTTCAAGAATGGAGGATGGTCGGCTGCTATCTGGGTTCCAGGGCTTAGGTGTGTCCACCTGGGCCCACAGTTGACCCTTCTGGCAGTTGATGAGGGGAGCTAGACGTCCAAGCAGGTCCTGACCAATGAGAAGTGGTTCAGTGTCTAGCTGGCAGACATAAAACGGGTGAACCAGAATCATGTCTTGGAAGGTGATGTCCAGCCACGCCCGGTTAGTGATACACTCCCGGGTCTGGGTGTAGCTGGTGATTTTCAGGTCACAGGGTTCTACCTGGACTGGTTTCCCGAGCGACCGCATGGTGTCAGACACGCCATGGAACAGTGTGGAGCACATCAGGGTGATTTCTGAGCCGGTATCCAGCAGAGCATCAACCTGTATTCATCCACCTACATTTGTGCTACAGTACAAACGGCGAGCATGATCATGGTTTTTAAGTCACCAAGGAACATCAGAAATTTAGTATCAGGTTTCTCTGGGGGGTAGATTTCAGGAGACTCCTGTGATCCAGCAGTAGTGTTCCCCCAGCTGATCAGGTAGGTCCTGGTCACTCAGGGGGGTTGAGCCACGCCTAGTAATGCGGACGGTGGCCCTGGGTCTGGCTTCTTAGAAGAAGACTTTGGTGTTGAGGTCTCATCTGCAGATCTCAGCTGTTCCTTCTGTTTAGCTAGGAACTGCTGAAACATTTCCTGGAGGTCGGCTTTGGTCAGGGACTCACTCGCGGACTCGCGTTCGGGACTTACCTGTGGGCGGCGCTCCTTAAACGTTCCTTTGGTCCGACCTGCAGATCGTTGGTTTTGGTTGGGCCACTTCCTGTCTGATTGTCCAGACCTAGGTGGCTGCCAATTAGCACCCTCCTTCCCCTTCAGATGTACTGGAGCTGGTTGAAACAGCTGTCACAGCACACAACGCCCGTCTGAAGGGTCGACTCAGGTAGCATCGGCAGGCGTCAGCAAGTTCACTCTTATTTTGAAGGAACGTCGTCTTGTTGGTTCAAACGACGGAAATCTCCAGCTTGACATTTCTCAGCTTAAAATAGAAAGTACAGCTGGCCAGCCTGTACTTCTCTTTTGGCGGTGATGGATCGAGAGCTGGTTGAAAACAATGTTGAGAGTATGATGTAACTCCTTGGAGCTCGGATCGAACAGAGCTGAGGTTGAAATGGAACTGCCCATAAAATGGCGTTGCCTTATTTTATATCCCTTAATTGTTTACAAATCTTAGCAAACCGGATTGGACGACTTTCATTAAACAACCCAGATTCTGCCCTACGACAGACGAAAGTTCTGATTGGTTGAAAACAATGTGTCATGCTTTTCCATGGTAATGGAGATCAGTCTGTCTGGTGCAGCCCTGTTTATTCATTAAACACATAACTCATGACATCTTTATTTCACAGATCATTCACCTGATTATTAATGATCAACATATGCTTTGATTAGCTTTATCACGAATAAAGTACTTTAATTAAAGGAAAGCGTTCTTCTTCTCTTCTTCTGTCTCTTCTCCTGGAATGTAAACATACTGAACCAAGCGCCCGACCTTGGTGATGTTACTGTGTGAAGGGGCAGCTGTTAAGGGCAGACCATTATAAGATTCATAACGCTACACTGGTGAGAGTTCGATGCAGCTTTCTGCTCAGCAAAATCAGCACCACTCTGTTGCTGGTTCAAGGATGAACAACTTATTATTTTAATCCAAGCTAAAGATTTATTTGTTTGTTTGTGTCGGATAAAAATCTCTGTGTAACCTAGCCTCACACGGGCTGCACCAATTAATGTTGGGGTTATTAGGTAGCGAATAATTAGTAAGCTTTTACTTACGTTTTGGATTCTTCAATAAATTCTGTAAATATGGGAATATTTACTGATTTATTAATTAATTAAGATATTCTTAGATATCCCGGGGCACCATTCCCCTTTTAACCGGGGAAATGAATCCAAAAGTCTTATCAGTCTATCTTAAAGGCCCAATGTGTGATATTTCATCTTATAAGTTATCAAATTTCTTGTATCACATTCTCAAATTTGTTTTTTTTTTAATGATAATTCAAACAAGCATTTATTCTAAGCATTATTATTAGCTTTATATTTTAATATTTTAGACAAAAGAAGCAGACCGGTGCTCCATATGGCATGCGCCATCTTAAAATACAGTGACCTTTTAGGGACATACAACATATTAAGCTTCGCATTTGATGTTTGCGTTTTTAATGATGTAACCTCAAAGAAACAGCAGGGGGCAGAAGTGCGCCTTGTAAGCATGCAGTCTGACAAAGTAACTAAGAAGAAGAAGAAACTAGCCACACCGTACTTCTAGCGATGGAGGATCACACATATTCTACAAGAAACGGGATAGTTTGTCTCATCCAAGTAAAAGAAAAAGGATTTTGAAAAGTGAACAAGACCGGCGTCATGAGAACGCCGATCTTCTAGACTTTATTGCAGCTCTGCCTCTTCCTCTTGTGCGTGGGACGTTGCGGCTGGTTTGAGCAAATTCGGCTCCTTCATCTTGGGATGCTTGCCCTGCTTCTGTCGCATGTCTAACACCTCTGCCTCTCTGTGCGCTGGCACACGTCTGTCCTCTTCCTCGCCCTCTTCCTCTCCCTCGTCCTCTGTCTGTCTCCACTGATGAACCATCGGATGATATCTGACTCTGTTTACGGAGAGAAAACAATTACAGACTACACTACCTTGTATATTTCCAAAATGGCAAATAGAAATATAACATTTCTCAAATAAAATGAACAAAATATTGTCATTTTTTGTAGTCAGAAGTCATCACCAACTAGCTGCCGTTTGCTATTAGCAAACATAACTGACATAAAAAAGTTTTTCTTATTCAAAACCTATTTAGATTAAATTAATAAAATAAGTTAGATGAAAACAACTAACCTGTTCGCTGACTTGAAAGCTGGAATTAGATGATGACATGCTGCCGTTTACAGCAACACGATTTTGTATTGTATTTGTTATATTTGTTAATAAAGTTTTAAATAATGATAAAAAAAAACCTTTTTGATCCTCGGGGGCTCCAATAGCTGCAATACCGACTCTAAACTGCGTGGTGCTAAAGAGTCGGATCTTTTTACTATGATTTCTGTGAATTTCACACACGGGGCCTTTAAAGGGTGGAATCTAGGAGCAAAGATTTTACATCAACACAAAGAAGTTTACTGGAGACAAATCTGAATTTTATAACATTTAATTAAACAATTTGTCAAATGAATAAACAATGAAATAAATGAATAATAACCATGTGATATAATTGAAGATGAATATTCAAAATGGTGTTCAAGGTGTTTTGTGTGTGTAATGGAGGATGTCCCAACAAACACTAAAACACGTATGAGTGTGTGAGTGTGAGTGTGTGTGTGTGTGTGTGTGGAAGAGAGGGGGATGTATGAATGGAGTCCTTTGTTCTCACAGCAAAGTGACTTTTCTCTCTCAGATGCAGAGTTCAAGGGATTACCTGACATTTAGTGGCTTAAAATCACAGTAAAATTAAACTTAAACACTTCAAAAGTTAACAAAACAACAAAAGGTCACTCCTAGGCAATATCTAATGATCTGTTGAAAGCTGTGGCCACAGCTTTCACACATAGACATTAATAAAGGAAACGACCTTACTTCACGAGTGTCCGGGTGGCGTTTGGTCCGGAGATAGAGAAAAACACGAAGCTACTTTTAAACGATCCGCGGCGATCGCTTATTTTGGTCTAGAAGAACGGGAAAGATAAAAGTTTAAATGAAATAAAACTTGCAGGAGCAAAGCCTCTGAGCGGGGCAGACGTCCCTCGTCGTTCAAACGGGTTATATGTGATTTACTCCATTGTTCCTCCCCACGAGTGTCTCTCCACGGGATCAGCTGGACAGAGAGCAAAGTTTCTTTTGTGCTGAGTTTGATAACTTACAGCGAGCTTGATGGAGCTGGAGTTGCTTTTTGGGTTTCCAAGTCCTGCTTTCAGCGGTTCTGTGTACGATCTGCTCCAGCAGCCAGCCTCCCGCTGCTCATGTTGATCAGAGCAGTAGCAACGAGCATCCTTTACAGCCAGTGAACTGGGCATAAGAACAACAAGGACGTTGTTCTGTTGTGATTTATAACCTTCGAAGCTGGCGGGAAGGCTCCATGAGCTCCTGCACATGCGCAGAACGTGTTTCTGGTATTAGGCGGTGACGTCTTCACATTGCTTCCGGGTGCAAAGCATCATGGGAAATGAAGTTTCTGCTGGCGCTGATGTTTAATATCTGCTTTTCAAAGCAATTTAGCAGTCTTTGGAGAAAATTACTGCAGCAATTTCTCACGAGGGCATACCCTCAACACCGCTGAGATGTTTTCCGCCCAGGAGATGTCAGCAGAGATGAGGACGCCAGGGAACCGGAAGGTGTGGACCCTCTCCACACACTCCCCGTTGATGTAGAGGGGGGCCAAGTTGGTGCTGTGTCTCCTGAAGTCGACAATAAGCTCTTTTGTTTTCTTGGTGTTCTGGGACAGGTTGTTTTCTCAACACCATGCTGCCAACTTCAGGACTTCCTCTCTGTACTCTGCCTCGTCTCCCTTCGAAATGAGTCCGACTACTGTGGTGTCATCAGCAAACTTGATGATGAGAGTGTTATTGTGGGTCGGACTGCAGTCGTGGGTGTACAGAGAATACAGGAGGGGACTCAGCACACAGCCCTGTGGGGAGCCGGTGCTCAGTGTGCGAGTGGAGGAGAGATGAGGGCCGAGTCTCAGTCGGCGGCCGGTTTGTGAGGAAATCCTTTATCCGGGCACATGTGTGAGGAGGGAGGCCAAGAGTGACCAGTTTGTTGATGAGGATGTCCAGGATGATTGTATTAAAGGCTGAGATGTAGTCCACAAAGAGCATTCGGACGTAGCTCTGCCGCTGCTCTAGGTGACTCAGCACAGCATGGAGGGCTGTGGCAATGGTGTCTTCTGTTGATCTGTTTGCATGGTATGAAAACTGGTGGGGGTCGAATTCTGAAGGGAGGTGATCCTTTATGTGCTGAAGGAGTACTCTCTCAAAGCATTTCATGATTATAATCATTTACGTTGGAGATGGGAGACTTCTTCGGTACTGGGATGATTGTGGCTGATTTTAGACAGGACGGGATGGTTGCCTGATCCAGTGAGAGGTTGAAGAGTCTGGTGAAGATGAGGCTGAGCTGGTGTGCACATGCTCTTAGTACTTTGCCAGGTACTCCGTCTGGACCGGCCACCTTCCTGGGGTTCACTGCTAGGAGCACACGTCTGACATTGTGCTCCGTTACAGTGAGTGGAGCGGTGTAAGAACCAGGTGAGGATGAGGATGGTAGCAGGGCTGAAGCAGATGAGTGTTGCCGCTGTGGTGTTTCAAAGCAGGCAAAGAAGCTGTTTATTTCCTCTGCCAGCTGCATACTCAGGTTTTCAGTTTTTGCAGTGCTGCTTCTGTGGTTGGTGATGTCTCACATTCCCTGCCATACCTCTCGTGTGTTGTTGCTGGACAGGTGGGACTCGATATTCCTTTTGTGGTCTGACTTGGCTTTTTTAATCCCCCTTTTCAGGTTAGCTCGAGCAGCCCTGTACAGAGCTCTGTCACCTGACCTGAAGGTGGCATCACGGGCTTTGAGGAGTGAGCGGACCTCGCTGGTCATCCAGGGTTTTTGATTTGGAAAAACCCAAATGCTTTTGTCCACTGTCACATTTGCAGTACAGAACTTGATGTATTCCAGTACTGATCCTGTGAAAGTTTCTAGGTCCTGGTGTTCAAATATGTCCCAGTCTGTCTCTGTGAATCAGTCTGGTAATTTGTTGAGAGCATTTTCTGGCCAGGTTGTAACAGTCCTTTTGGTGGGCCTGGCACTGCGCCTGATGGGGGCGTAGGCTGGGGAGAGCACAAGAGAGAAATGGTCGGACTGACCGAGGTGGGGGAGGGGTATGGCTCTGCTTGATGTTGGAGTAACCATGATCTAGAGTGTTTTCTCCTCTGGTGGGACATTTGACATGCTGATAGAACTTTGGGAGTACAGTCTTTATGTTGGCCTTGTTAAAATCACCTGCAATAATGTGAACCCCATTTGGGTGGGCCCGCTGCTGGTTAATGGTGTCCAGCAGGATAGAGAGCGTCGTGTTTACGTTGGCATCGGGTGGGATGTACACAGCCATGATGATCACTACTGTTAGCTCTCTCGGTAGAAAAAAAGGCAGGCATCTTACCGACATGTACTCGAGGTTCGGGGAGCAGTGACTGTTTATAATTGTCCCATTGTTACTCCAGCTTTCATGCACGTAAATACAGAGCCCTCCCCCTCTGCTCTTACCGGAGTCCTTTTTCCTGTCCCAGCGAAGCAGAGTGCGGTCTGCTAGCTGAACGCTAGCATCGGGTATTCCCAAGTGAAGCCAGGTTTCCGTAATAATCAAGGCACAGCAGTCACGAACATGGCGATTTCCCACTAGTTGTAATTCCAGGTCGTCTGGTTTTTGCACGAGGGATCTAGCGTTGGAGAGACAGAGGCTCGGCAGAGGTGGCTTGTGTGGTTTGCTTTTTAGCCTCAGCATGATGCCGGACCTGCAGCCCCACTTTTGCTTCCTTTGCCTCCGTCTGCGCCTCCGTTTAGTCCTGATAACAATCCACGGGGAGCCCGGTGGTCTCGCCACATGATCTGGGATGTTGTGCGTGCCGCCACGGCTGAAATCCCACAGCCACGCCTACAAGATCCCAAGTTTAGTTTTTTTTTTTTGCGCTGTTTCCCGAAGAAGCAGCGGGAATTACTATGTTGTCGCTTGTGCTCACAGCCGGCGACAGCAAGGAGGAGCAGGCAGGGCAAGGTGAAGTTAAGCATAAGTTACGGAGTTTATAATTAGAAAGGTAGCAGTGGATATAATGCTTTCAATAGCATTAAGATAAACGAGTGTTGACGATCTTGACAGGGTTTCCTCCAGTGCTTATTAGGCCAGGTTTTCCTCCCCCCACCAGGCTAACCATCACTTATTCATGTAAAATTCATTTTTTCATGTCTGACTTTAACCACATCTAATACTGTATTACAGCGTGAGCGCAACAGCCACAACTTAAGATCGATGTGTGAGCAGCGTGAGAGGTCGGGTGTTTTCATCTGAACCCTTAAAACCTCCAGCAGTCTACGCTGCACTATTGACGTGTTAGCGCGCGGCGCTAACAACTTAGCGACATGACATGCCTCGGAGAAAGCGTAAAAACACTTTGGACGCTTCTTCTGAAGCGGCAACATAACACTTCTTATGCAGAGGACGATGTCGCCTCGACTCGTTCACCGCCGAGCCGGTCTGAGCTCGATAACATTGACCCAGCACAGCCACTGGGTCATTGGAGCTGCCCCGTGACTGCCTGATGGAAAACCAGCGGGTTTAATCAGACTCGTAAAGTTTCTTGTTTTTGCTGGGGACCCCCTGCATTTTACCGCTCCCTCCTGCAGTCTTCCCCTATTAAAATTTAAAATGATTCTGTGTATCAATAGAAAAAATCTCTCCCTCTGCCAGTTGCAGTAAATGTTGTCTCCAAATAATAAGTAAGAGGTGCATTCATCTGTGTATCTCCTTTGATCCGCATGAGTGATGTTCTCAGCACCAGAGCAGTGAAGCAAAGAAACTGATTCCTGAGTTTGTTAGTAATTTTATTCATTAGGTGCATCTGACCTGTTCTATTTTTCTCTGAAATGAGATAAATCAGTGCTTCTATGGGTTGGCTCCTCTCTGCACTAGAAAATTTTACTTTATTTAAAGACGTGTCATAACCGGGGGTCACAACCAGCAGCCGACAGAGTCGCAGGAGATAACAACGGCAAGCCCCCAGGCCCGCCCAGAGCCCCCCACCTCTTAAGTCGACTGAGCCTGGGACCCAGCGCCCCGGGACCTAGGGGCGACCAACCCCGCCGGTGACCCATCTGAGCCCAGGCAGCCACCGGGAGCAATGACAGATGCCAAAAATCTTAAGGCCCCCGACACTGGGAGCTGCGAACACGCAGGCAGACCGAGGCTCCACACTCGGCAGCAAATGTGGCAGGGGGAGGGCAGGCGAAGATGTGTAGCAGCACAAGAATACCCAAGAGAAGGGAGGAGTCCAAAACCCCACCTTACATACATAGTCATTGTTTAGGTAAATTTTCTTACTAACATCGACCAAAGAACTCAGACTGGAAATTCGGTTGAGTATTTCAGATTACACTTTCTGCAGAAAGAGGAGCCAGACCGAACACGCATTTGCATGTGTGAGTTTCCAAGCTGACTCCAAATCTTTCAGCTTCAGAGCATATTTTTATTCACACATAGGCATAGTTACAAAGTTGCACAAACATTTGTCTCACCCCCGACTCATGGCCCGAGCGAGCACCTTAAGAGTTGAGAATTTTTGGAGCATCCTTTTCTGAGATACCAAATTCTGAGATAACAAAGAAGCGTTTAGAGTGCTGTTTACAGAAATAAGAAAAACATACCATCTACTCACCCATGGCAACCAGACAACTTAACCTCTCTTTTTCTCTAACAGTCATACACAAACACAGTCACACACTCCGTCCCTCATGCTCACACATACACATACAACCGGAGACTTACAAAAATGAATGCTAGACACCCATTCACGCTCCCTATGCACACCCTATTCACTCTGGTCCTGGAACTGCTGCACAGATGGTACAACCATCCCATGGCCAGAATTAGCCCCGTTCTGCTGAGGTGATGATGAGCAGGCACCCCACCCAACTCTGAGCAAAGCAACTCATCGCCCCAGACCCCAGACGGCCAGCTCCCACTCCGCTCATTGTAAACTTCAGTAAAGAACTAAAACGATTATTAAGCTGCTGTTTGTTTTTCCTTTGAAGCGAGGTTGTCTGTCACCACAAACAAATGTTTTGAGTGTTTAGTTTTTACTTGCACAAAATGAAAATTAATCTGAGAGCTCGTTAATTTCCCCAAAAATATTTAGATGCATTAGATGATTTAAAAAAAAGTTTTTTTAATTGTCAAATTAATCAACATTTTCTTTTTTCTCTTATCCTGTCTAGATCTTCCACAGCATCATGTCTGGGAAAAGGAGAAGGATTCGACTGCCCAGCAGCTCTTTAACCAGGAGTCGATGTCCTGTTCAGACCAGGAAAAACCAGAACAGCTAAAACTTTGCCAACATGAAGGACAGCTCTTCCTGAACCAGGAAAATCTTACCTTCACGGATACTCCTCTGTCTGAAGAAACAGACTGTCATGAACCAGAACCAAACAGGAACCAGCCATTGTGTCAGAGTTCTACAGATCCTGCGAACCAAGATCAGGGTGGATGCAGGAATGAAAACTCAGAATCAAATGGCAATGAAGAACTGAAACTGAATAAAAGGCATCAGCGAAGCAAAGATCACAGAGACAGTGTAGGTGGTGAAAGACAAAAAAAGCACAAAGGGGCTCACAGTGGCAAGAGACCATTTTATTGTAAGCTATGTGGAAAATCTTTCAGTCACAAATCTGATTTAAATATTCACATGAGAACTCACACAGGTGAGAAGCCATATTCATGTAAAACTTGTGGTAAATGTTTTATATACAGTGGTCACTTGACTACACACATGAGAACTCACACAGGTGAGAAGCCATATCCATGTAAAACTTGTGGTAAATGTTTTAGAACCAGTGGTGAATTAACTACACACATGAGAACTCACACAGGTGAGAAGCCATATCCATGTAAAACTTGTGGTAAATGTTTTAGAACCAGTGGTGAATTAACTACACACATGAGAACTCACACAGGTGAGAAGCCATATCCATGTAAAACTTGTGGTAAATGTTTTAGAGTCAGTGATCACTTGACTAAACACATGAGAACTCACACAGGTGAGAAGCCGTATCCATGTAAAACTTGTGGTAAATGTTTTAGAGTCAGTGATCACTTGACTAAACACATGAGAACTCACACAGGTGAGAAGCCGTATTCATGTAAAACTTGTGGTAAATGTTTTAGAGACAGTGGTGAATTAACTAGACACATGAGAACTCACACAGGTGAGAAGCCATATCCATGTAAAACTTGTGGTAAATGTTTTAGAGACAGTGGTGAATTAACTAGACACATGAGAACTCACACAGGTGAGAAGCCATATCCATGTAAAACTTGTGGTAAATGTTTTACTGAAAGTGGTCCCTTGACTAGACACATGAGAACTCACACAGGTGAGAAGCCATATCCATGTAAAACTTGTGGTAAATGTTTTAGAACCAGTGGTGAATTAACTAAACACATGAGAACTCACACAGGTGAGAAGCCATATTCATGTAAAACTTGTGGTAAATGTTTTAGAACCAGTGGTGAATTAACTACACACAAGAGAACTCACACTGGTGAGAAGCCTTATTCATGTAAAACTTGTGGTAAATGTTTTATTGAAAGTGGTAACTTGACTAGACACATGAGAATTCACACAGGTGAGAAGTGATTTAATCTTCTATGAGATTCATTAAGGTACTTTATTTACCTTCTGATTTGAAAATTCACACTTGAGATTATATTCATTAAAATATGTTTGGCAACATATCATAGATGCCTTAAAGTGCTCAAGGCATGGGTGGAGACTTATTCCATCCACACTTCCTGTTAGAAAAACGCTTCTGAAAATTAATTAGCTGACAACATCACATTTTGTAGCTTAGACATTTGTAGCTTGCCTTAGGAATGCGAATGGGATTGAGCTCATGCGCACGTGATTTAGGACACGGGTGGTCTGTGATGTCACAAGCATACATGGGCGGGGCAAAAGCGCACAGAAGTCCGCAGTGTCCATTATTAAACAAAAGCAGCCTAAGTAGTCTTGCTTATGGAGACTGACTTTCATATTGCATCCTGCTTTGCTGGGTCTGGCAGAGTGTGTGTTTATGTGTGTGTGTGTGAGGGACAAAAAAAACCCAGTTTTTGTGAGAGGCTTGTTAACTCCACAGCATCAACGATAATGAATTGCGCTTGCGGGAAGCCTCCCGCAGGCTGATTCTTGCTGCCAATCGGAGTTGGTAATGGTAGGCATGCTTTTGAGTTAGCCAGTCAGTCAGCAGTGGGCGTGTCGGCCCTGTTCGGCTCCAGGTGGACCTCCTTGGGAAGAGGGTTGAAAAGACATCTGGAGTGAGAAAACTCCTAACCCATGCCATTATTTTACTCAGATCTTTAACTTGTGGTCACATCTGCCTTAAAAATGTTCTTGCTTTATACCAGTGTCCCTCAATAGGCGGTCCAGACCTGGCCTGAGAATGTCCAAGTTTTCAATTCTACTCTGCTTGGCCAGGGAGCACATTGCTTGTGATGTGGATGAGGCACTGTGGCCAGATAAAAACAGAAGAGCGGATGCAGCACAGTTGTTTATTTTTTTCTTTATTCGTTTTAGCTTAACTATTAATTATAGTCTGTTTGTATATGTAGACCACTGCATAGGCAACTCTGTGTTGGTTTGGATGAACACTGCTGTTTTTGTGTTAAAACACACAAAAGTATATTTTGTAACGTGTTTGTGAGTTTTGTACACAAACATTCTGAAATATTTTATCTACAATGCACTGTCGTAGTACAGTAGGTGTAACACTGAACACTGTAAGTCATTATGATGACTGGAGAAGTGGTCATAATGTTTTACACATCAGAGTTAATCTGGTTCTTATAAATGTTTACTCATGTAATGGTTTGCGTGTCATTTGGAAACCAAAGACCATTTTGAGAAGAATGTGCGTGTTTTTGGATTCGCGTGTAGAGTTCTAAAAATATGTTGCATGCTTTCAAAAAACATGAGTAAACAACTGTGAATAACTAATTTTAATTATGTGTTAAAAGTGTTTTCCAGTTTAACAAGTTGGTATGAAAAGTAGGCCAGCTGACTACAGTTTTTAATGACAGCGTGTTTGTTGTGAATACAAGAGATTTCCTTCATGATTTCCTTGACAAACGTGTGTTTTTAAACTGTAATGTAAGTGTGAAGCAGAGATTGTGCTGGTAGTTTAGCAGAACTGGTTAGGGGAGTTGGCACATCAGTTACATGTTGTAGTCACTGTGCCAGACGTAAAAAGAATTGTGTGTAAACAACTGTAACAGCGTTAACATTAATGGAGGGATCATATATAGTTTGATCTCATTTTCAAATATAGAGAACAATGGTTTTTGATTAGTATATTGATCTTTATGAATATGCCAATTGGCTAGGGTTGTCACGGTGTGAAAATTTTACCTCACGGCTATCGGTATTATCGCGGTATTTTTTTTAAACGTGCTACATTTTCACACAATTAAATAAACCCTGTATGTCAGGAAATATTGTCCTCAGTTTGTGTCTAAAATTTGTTATTTTGTAATTATGTTGTTTATTTGTTTACATTTTTCCCCTTCAGTCTTTAAAATACCAATATTTGCCCATCACTTATTTTTTGTCTGTTTGATGTCATTTAAAAATATTAGATCAGATGATACTCAGTACTCAAGTAGCCTTTTAATCAGGTACTTTTTAACCCTTACTTGAGTAATAAACCCTATATCAGAAAACTATTGTCCTCTGTTTGTGTACTTCCAGTGAGTTTTGCAGATTTGGGAAAATGTCATAAATTCATAATTTTTCTCGGAGAGAGACCAACTCTTATCTGCCCCTGGGAGCCCCGTAATGCATTGCATCATTTCAACATGGGGGTGTCCGCGACACGGTTTATATGCAGGTAGCGGCGCTGCGGCTGCTTTATATAGCGACTCGTTGCATTCTCCCTCAACCCAAATCCTCTGATCACGCATTTTAGCTAAAACGCTAACATTAGCTTGCCTTGAGTTGACTGTAGAGTTGTGGGTGATGGTCACGCAGATGTGTCATGAGATGTGAAGCATTGCTGCCTTTCACAGACACTTTTTCTGCACGTTCTGCAAACAGGATAGCCGTCTTCTATCAACTGTCCCTCAGCATTCTTCAAATATCCAAAAAATGCCCGTTCTTCCCACTTTGTCTTCTTTGAGGGATAAAAAAAATGTCCTTAGCGCTGCCGTCTCCTCCTTTGGCCATTATTTCAGCTTTAGCTTCAAGAAAGTTTTGGTTGTAAACAACAAAGCGCGCATGTGCTGCCGGTGTTCTGTCCAGTCGCCCTACCTTGTCAGACTGTCATACCCATATTACACAGTATGCCTGTCTGACAGACTTAGTCAGTCAGACAGGCATACTCGGTCAGATCGTCATACTTTTTATTTTTTGCTGTATGACACCCTGATGGTGGCATACACTGTCAGATCATTCTATCCAGTCGCCATACCTTGTCAGACTGTCATACCCGTATAGTATTACACAGTATGCCTGTCTGACAGACTTAGTCAGTCAGACAGGCATACTCTAAGATCGTCATACTTTTTATTTTTATTTTTTGCTATATGACACCCTGATGAGTGGTTTTACCAGTCGGATCATCATACTTTTTGTTTTTGACAACAGTATGACACCCTGATGGGTGGTTTTACTAGTCTGATTGTCATACTTTTTGTTTTTGACAACAGTATGACATCCTTGATGCTCAATGCAATTTTTTTTTTAGAATTGGGTGGTAAAAATAAATTTGTGATACACATTCATCAGTACATTTTTTTCCAGTGAAGCTCACCAAGTTGGTGCAATGGCAAAAGAAAGCAGAATAGTTGATTCACTGATTCCTGTTATAAAGATCAGTCTCAGTTTGAATGAAAAACTGAACATGAAGAACTTAAAAGTTATAAGAAAGGTAATACAAACTTTATTTCCAAGTAAAACACACACACACACACACTTATTGCAATTCACACATTTTACATTTGAAAAGGTCAACAAAATGGGTGGCACACTTTGTGAGTCCATCTTGGACGGAAGTCGCACTGTATCTATGAGGCAGAATGGAAAAAATATCAGTTATAAGTTCATGTTTAAAGCATTGGAAGTATACAATTCTATGGCTGTGTTTTTACCATTTCATTGATGTCCTTGCATGCGTCATAGTGCAACATGTTGCATGAAACACAGTAGTCTTCCACCTTATCTGTAATATAAAGATAGGCATATGAGAATTTCTTTTAATACAATCAGACTTAATATAGCAAGGTAAATGTAGCAGGATGGTCTCACCCACACCTGATTTCAATGAACTGTCTAATTATCAGCAAAGGGTACTGCATTTGCCCCATGGCACATGTTCCCTCTTGCTGCCACTGCTTCCAGGTCACCCATGACTGTGCTGAGTCTTCATGTCTGTTTTCACTGACTACATGAAGGGCAAGTTGTTCATGCCTCTGGTAGGCTGGGGTTTTCCCCCATTACCAGGGCTTCATGATTTAAAAGTGCCAAACTGTTCTACTTCAACCCAACTGTCTAGCTTGAATTTTAACTAAAATAATAGCTCCTTGTTTTGAAGAATGTGTTGTAATCGTGACACTATGGCTGTGTCCGAATCCAGAGGAAGGATGCTTGTAAGAGCGCATTTTGAGGTCGATGACGTCAAAGCGCAGCGACGAGTACTGTCCGAATTCCAAGAATACTCATTCTCGCGTCCTCAAACCAAGCCCCCACAATGCCGCTCTAAAAATGGTCCCATCCCGGAAGTAAGAAAAATTGCAGTTCCACCCTCATCCGCTGGGGGCTGGTGCCAGAAGCGAGCAAATCCTCATTGACTCCCATGTTAAAAATGCCGATTTCACAGCAGAAATAAACATGTTTACAGCCTGGTTCCAAAACATGTTTTTTGTCTAAATTATCTAGTTTACACTCATGACAACTCTGAGGGGGGTGAATTTTTTCCTCACTCTTCTGTTTAAATGTATTGAAAGCCTAAAATTCTGTATAATTAATGAGCAGCCGACACACGTGACCGCCGCCTCAGACCCACGTGACCACAGAGCTAGCTCCGTGGAAAGGCCTCAGTACAGCCTCGGTCCCTCCTGGAAACTGTGTCGGGATTTTGAGTCTCTGTGCTTGTGAATTCTGTTTTGGATATTATTGGTGCAATTGTTGGACAAAATGATTTGCTGTGGTATTAATTGCACTAATAGAGCGTCCAAGGAGTCTCCACTTCATTTTTTTCGGTAAGTTAAAATCTATATTTGTATTTTATGTCACTGCCGCCTAGCTGAGTTTACCGAAGTAGCTAGCTAACTATCAGTTTAACATGTAGCATGTACTTTTTAACCATGAAATTTAAATGTAAAATACGGTAAAATAATTAATAGGGCATATTTTGATTGGTAAAACCCAGTGCATTTAAGATAAAAATGGGTTGAAATATGACGGAGCGCGCCGCTTGGAGGGACACCTGTGCTCCATTCTTTCATCCGGTAATCCCCAGCGGTCAGGCCGGGCAGGCTGACCGATGCGGCGCCTCGCTGCTGCGGGCTGACCGGAGAAATACTGCAGCTCGTTGAGAAGTCTATAGGGCATACAGCGTTTCCCTTAAATCCCACCGCCACGCCAACAAGATCCCAAGTTTCTTTGTTTTTGCTGGCGCTGTTTACCGAAGAAGCAGCGGGAACACCAGCAAGTTTCATCAGACTCGTAAAGTTAGTTTTTGCAGGGGACCCCCTGTATTTTACCGCTCCCTCCTGCAGTCTTCCCCTATTAAAATTTAAAATGTGTAACTTTATGTATTGGGATGAATGACTGATATTCATGTTAAACTCAAACGTTAGGTATTTAGGGGGAAAAAACAAAATAATAAACATTATACAGATGTCAAATAAATCAAACTGTAATTAAACTATATATTTTCAAAGTCTCGATTCTGGATAAAATCCAACAACATATGCTTTATAAATAAACACTACACATGGCTTTTACACACACACACACACACACACACACACATTACACTGTGATTTCTTAGTAAATGTTCTATTTGGCGAGAGATAAACTTTATTGTATTTATCCTAGTGAATCTATAATTAAACGGGTAAACTAGTAGTAGCACATCCAACATCAAAGAGAGGAAAAAGTTATTATCAGGAGAGGGAGAATGTTTAAGTGGTTAGCAGCAGTGTGCTAGCCGATGGCCCCCTCCATGAGGCCACCACAGCTCAGCAGAACACCAATGTAGCTTCTTCTGGGGAGAAAAACACTTAGAGAAAAAATAAAGTTAACAGCTGAAATAGCAGGAAATAATACAGTTAAAGAGCAGATTGTAGAAGAAAGAAACCCCTGGGTTAAACTGGTCTGTCTACTGCATAATGCTGAGCTCTAACATGTGTCCTCAGGGAAGGACCTGATTGGTGTCCAGAACCTGCTGAAGAAGCACCAGGCTCTGCAGGCTGAGATCACAGGTCATGAACCTCGCATCAAGGCTGTCACCCAGAAAGGAGAGACCATGGTGGAGGAAGGTAGAGCAGGTCTGGTCCTGACATGTTTCTGAGGTGTCTGCAGGTTCTGGCTCACTTTGTTTGGGTCCAGGTCACTTCGCTGGTGAGGAAGTGAAGACTAAACTGTGGGAGCTTCATGGACGTTGGGACACGCTGAAGGCCAAGGCGTCCCAGAGGAGGCAGGACCTGGAGGACTCTCTGCAGGCCCAGCAGTACTTTGCGGATGCTAATGAGGCCGAGTCCTGGATGACGGGGAAAGGAGCCCATCGTTGGAAGTCCAGACTAAGGGAAAGACGAGGACTTGGCCGAGGTATGGAAGTCCCTTCCTGAGAAACTCCAATCGCTTTTCTTTGCTCTCTTTCCAGTCCTTCATAATTAGTGTTTCTGTATTTGTCATTTCCTTCGGTTGTCTACCAGACGTCGTTGCTCGTTTGAGCGTCTCATGGGTTAGGGGTAGAAGTGCTGGCCTCGCACAGGAAGTGATGACAAACGTGTTCCCGTCGCTCTTATTTCAAACGGTTTACAAGCTGTGATGTGTGTTCCCGCTGCAGAGCAGCCATGACACGTGGCAGCCGGCAGAAGGCTCACGCTTTTCCACTAAACACCCGCAGAGCTGCGTCTGCGGTGAACTGAGCAGGGTTTGTTTTACGGTGGCGGATCCGATTGGACCATCGCTGCGAGAAAGCTCCACTTGTGTCAGACGAGCTGAAGGTTCTGATGTTCTGCTCCACAGGCTCTCCTGAAGAAGCACAAGGCCCTGATGTCGGACCTGTCGGCTTACGGCAGCAGCATCCAGGCCCTGAAGAAGCAGGCCCAGTCCTGCAGGGTGAGTTCAGAACCCTCGGCCCGTCAGAACATTCTTATCCACCACGTTCTAACACCAGACCTGTTAACCCGACAGCAACAAGGTAATCAGCAGGTGCTTTTGTCCTGCAGGACCTGAAGGCCAACGAGTCCCGCCTGAGGGACATCAACAAGGTGGCATCTGAACTGGAGTCAGAAGGTCTGATGGCTGAGGAGGCTCCTATGGTTCAGGCTCAGGTGAGCGTCACCTGTCTGCAGCAGCTGGTCCCTTTCACTTCCTGGTTTAACTCTGCTCGTCTCTGTTTGTAGCAACAAGAACATCTGGGTTCTGCTCCTGGAAAGGTGCATGTTGTCCTCCGCCTCCACCAGAACCAGACGTGGTGTTTGTGTTACCACTCATTTGTTTGTTTGTTTGTTTGTTTACAGGATGAAGCCGACTCTAACACGGCGTCACCCTGGAAGGTGAGTTCATTCAGCTGATCAGAGGTCACCTCTGATGGCCGCAGTCACGGCCGACCGTGCTGACATCACACAGGAATTCAGGTGACCCGGCAGGCACCAGGTGCTGGTGAAAGTGGGGACATGTCAGCTGGTTGCCATGGCTACAGTTATCTTTATGCATCTGTATGACTGCTGACTGGTGTGTGTTTCCTGCGACCTTTGACCTCAGACCGTACGGTTGGGCGTTCAGACGATGGCTAACTTTAATTCCATCAAGGTAAGAGGAAGCTCTTCCCTTCCTGTCTGAGCGATCCGTCTCCAGGTTTCCTCGTCCGGCGTCCAGCCCGCTGGCGTCCACCTTCATCTCACCTTCATCTCATCTCACTTCATTTAAAGAGCAATACTTTCACATTATCATTTTCCCACACTTCTGTATACCTGTATTTTGTTGTTTTTCAATAAAGAATGACAAATTATTTAAGTTTGGTTTTTGTTGCACACAAATATATATCTGTAAAAAATATCTACAAAGCTAATGTTTACATAACAAGTATGATTGGGTTTTGCAATACGGCACTATTTTAGTAAGAGTTTTAAACCAAGTAAAGTTAGTAAAGAACACATTTCTGTTGTCTGCTAAGAAACTGTTGGGATTTAAAATGGGCCTGTTGTACAAATAACTTGTAAATGATTATTCCTCACTTTTGTCTTAACCAAAGAAATTCCAGTAATTGAGCAAAAACATTTATTTTTATCACTACATTTTATAAAACAGGGCGCAAAGTGTCGGCACATGTATGTATGTCGATGGTCCGCCCCAACCAAACCAGGAGACACAGACGTCAGGGAGGCCAAGGTTGTCTCCGACGGTCTCTGCAGCTCTCTGGGCACCACGCCTCACTCAGCTGTCTCCAATGATCCAAATGGCTATGGAGAAAAAATAACAGGTTTGTCATAATTGTTTAAAGTACAAAACCATACATGAAGTGGTCAAGACAGGAACTTACACGCTGCGTTGTGTAGCTGATGTTGGAGACACACAGGCTGCCATGGTGACCTTTTAACAGATCTAAGAAAAAAATGTAATAAAAGAATGAAACTTAAAAACTCCCAGACCTCATGTCATATTTACTAATCAGCTATGGCTGATTTATTGTTTGGATCACAGTGAGTTACACTAATTCTAATATATTTTTATTTCTATTACACATACATACTTTTTAACTGTTATTTTCACATGACTGTTATCAGGCTCTCTTGTTCTGGTTCTGATGATAATTCCGTGTCTTCCAGTAAGTTATCTTGTGCTTACTTCATCTATATAATGTCTCTTTACTTTTGGTAAATTGTACTGAGTCCAGAATAAAGGCTACTTGGCTGTACAAGATACAAACAAGTATTACGTTTTGGAAATATATGAAACACCGCCAGCATCTGTTAGAGCCTGTGGCGGGGTGCTGAGGGCCGGCTTGTGTTGCAATGTGAAACGCTTGGTCTCAGATTTTGTAAGAAAGATAATAAAATGTCCCCCCAAAATACGACTTAAATATATTTTCTCTTCTTCATGATACATTGAATGGCTGGTGCGACTCAGGAGTGATAGCACCGAAAAAAACTGTACTGAAAACTTGCTCAAAGCAAAATGTTTTCATTACGGAAATAAATTATAAACTTACCGATTTAAAACTTTTTAATACAGGTACTTCTCACGAACAGGCGCAGAAAACCTCCACCTAAACTCCGTGTGAGGGTCAGGTCGTTGGGTGTTCCGGTTAGCTCCGGTTGAATTGAAGCTAGGTGGCTACATCCGTTAGCTCGGCTCCCACCTCCGCTTTAGCTTTGGGTTAGCCAGGGTTAGCTTCAGGTTAGCTCGTGGCTAGTTCGTCACTCGATCCCAGCCTTACATCCCCACCCTCAGCGCCTCCTCTCTTCCCTTTTATGGAATTGTCTGGGCTGGACGGAACCTGTGACACGGTCAAAATGGCGATGGTGGCCACCTCCCATTATGGACAAAAAACGTGTTATTGGAGTCTATGGAATCCGTTTGTCCAGTATGTACAGTCTATGCCTCAAACGCGTCCTCGCTCCACCCACATTTCGAGGATGGGTCTGATAGATCCTCACAGGAGCAAGGGTATCCCAGCATGCTTTGCGCGCCGGCCGCTGGACTCGACACTCGCAACAACGGCGGACGGAGCGGGACAGCAGTACAGCTTAAAATGTAAGTTAGTTAAAAAAATAGCGGTCAAAAAAATAAAATACGTGTTTGGGCACTTTTGGTTTGTTTTTTATATAAGATCTAATACCGCAAATTGTTTTTTTTTTCATGTAATTTAAGGCTAAAACATGCCCCACCGAATACCAGCTTGAATGTTTAATAGGAAAAAACCCACCGTAAACTAGCTTGATCCCAGCAGGCTTTTTAAAAGGAAAATAGCGGTAGAAAACTAAGCTGAAAACGGTTCTGTTTATAGACATTTTTCGTTTGTATAAGTACATTTTAAGCAGAAATCAGCGAGAACGAGCTTGTATGGTGGTCCCGTCATAATTCCCGTGTGTGTGTGTTTATTTAGCGAATAAAGCTTCTCATCATTTGTTTTAAGGTTAACACCCCACCGTAAACTTGCTTGAAAGTCTAATAGGAAAAAACTCACCGTAAAAGAGCTTGCATCTTATGTAATCATGTAACGAACGCCAAAAATAGCGAAAACTAAGTTTAATGTTTATTTAAGTTAATATTTAAGAAACCACATTACTGATTTAATGTTTTTAATTTCGTTTTAGGCGGAAAAAACACAGAACACAATTTTCATCTCCCATGTTGATAAATTAAAATATTGTTTATTGCATGTTTTATCAACTATGATTCATAATCTGACTTTGTTCTTCTATTCCTCTCTATTCTCATCCAGAACCAGTACCTTTAAGGTGCATCAGTAATTTCATTATGCCCACAGTGTTCTCTGTTGTTAAATGACAATAAAGCCTTGTAATTCTAATTCCCTTTGTCTGTAGGACTGCAAGTATCCAGGGTCAGGAGAGGGAGTCAGCGGAAAGCCCACTGCTGAAACCTGGCCCTGGTTTGTCCCCATGGATGAGGTGTTGGGACAGAGGCCTTCCACTATGCCTCCTGTCCTTATTGCTTCCATTCCCGAGGACACTCCAGGGCCAAGTGCAGCAGTGGGTGAGACAGAGGACAGGGAGAGTGGTGGAAGGAAGCCGGAGTCCTCATCAGGGAGAAAAAGGAGAAGGGCTGATGAGCTCCTTGACCTGATCAGGGAGGACATGAGACAACAGAGGGAAGCGGAGGAGAGGAGAGAAAGAAGGATGGACAGATTTTTTGCATTGATGGAAAGGATGGCAGAGAAATGGGTTTTTTTTCTTTTAGTTTCTTCTGGTTCAGGTTCTATATATGTGTTTGAATGTTTTTGTTATTTGTTTAAATGTAATAAAATTTCTATTAATTGATAACTCTTTTTTTTCTTTAACAGTTTTATTATTCAGTTTTTAACAAGTAACAACATAGTAAATAAATGGTAAGGGAACACTGTAAGGAATAAAATTAAAGATAAAAGTAAAATATATACAGTAAACTTGGAAAGCAGGGAGTCTTTGGTGGTGTTGCTAAATCTACTGAACATGGATCATTGAGGTGGATGGAGTGCAGGAACCGAGATCCGTGGCTGAACGTTTCTGGTTGGCAAGTGGAACATCAGACAGAGTGGTCTGCAGAGAGTGCTTCTGGATGCCTCATCTCACTGACCACTGCATCGTCCATCAAAAGGGTTTGCTGGGCTGGCTCAATCGACGGCTGTCACATCACTAACATTCAGATATATGCAATAAAGGAGATCATGAGTATAATACTTGTAACTCTAGCAGATAACAGGACTAAATGATTTTTAAACTAGATTCCTACGTAAATTACTTGCCTGTTAACATTAATTGTGATCTGGTGGTACTTACTCCAGAGCAGACACCTCAGCAGAAAGTTGGTCCCGCCAGAGGGCACCACTGACTGCCTCCAAACCAGCCTCCCCCTCATCTTCTGGAGCATCATCCTCCAGTTCATCGTCCTGCACCACAATGTCACCAGCACTGAGGCAGATGTTGTGCAGGATGGTGCATGCTGTGATGACCTGTAATAGAGATAAAAATTTAATTTATATTTCATTCCCAAACAAAGATTACACCCAAAGTTTATTTCCACTTTGTGTTAACTTACATGAGGTACAAAGGTGTGGTGGACCTCCAGCGCTTTCAGGAAGATGGTCCTGAACCTGGTCTTCATCATTCCAAAAGCACGCTCGATGATGCAGCGTGCCCTGGAATGATGGCTGTTGAAGCGCTGGGCTCCCACACCTTGAACCACCCGTTTGTAGGGGGTGATGAGGGGGAGTGGATGTTGGAGGCATGGGTACCCTCCATCCGCGAGGATGAAGTGCCCTGGAGGAGGAAAGGCTGACTGCCTGTACAGTGGGCTGTGCCGGAGGACCCTGGAGTCGTGGACCGACCCAGGCCAGCCCACATAGGTGTCGATAAAGTGGCCCTGATGGTCACAAACTGCCTGCAGGATGATAGATGGGAACAGTTTCCTGTTTCTGTAGCACTGACCATCAGGACCGCTCGGAGCCTTGATCCGAATGTGACAGCCGTTGATCGCACCTGCTGCTTTCATGAAAGCTCTGTGTCGAGCCAGCCCAGCAAACCCACGAGACACAATCTCCATCTCCTCTGGGGTTTTGGGGAGGTGAATGACCTGGTGGAGGATTGCGACCACATCCTCCGTGACTCGATGGACGATGTCGTGGACAGTTGAGCGAGGCATCCCAAATACTCTTGAGACCACCCTGTAGGATGTTCCACTTGCCAACCAGAACAGAAACACCAGGGTCTCGATTGTGGCACCCCAACCATGTCGCCGATCTTGGTTCAGGAGACTTAGCAACACCACAAAAGACTCCCTGCTCAGACGAAAATCTGGCCTGGGATTTTCCTGGTTAAAAAACCGGTCCAGGACTGGCACACTCATGTTTATCCTACAGTACAGGGGTCTGTTCTGTTAAAAGAAAAGTAGAGAACAATAAAACAATTTAAAAAAAACCTGTATAAATGCTTGAGATTTTTAGAAGAGAGCTAGGCATTATTAGGCATAAGTTGAAAAGGACAATACACATTAAACACATTGTAATGCTACTTTTACTATGAACTTTATGCACAGAACCAAGCATTATGATCAAATACAAACTTCTAAAATGTCATTCCATTAATTATTTTAGATGAATATAGGTTAAATTAACTATATGCATGTTAGTCTACTCTATACTAATGTGTATATTCAGCCATATGTCTTTCTGTTGCTTAAAATATAAATGAAACTAGCACTAAAGTTAACATGTAATGCCTGAAAGCTGGTTCACTAAACAAAAAATAATTATACCTGGATATGGCTGCTTCTCAGTCTTAAATACAAAGGCCGGTGATGTTTACTAAGCAGTCGCAGCTCCTCAAAAACCAAAAATAAAAGGGAATACTGCTGTGGATCCATTTTCACCTCTGACTAGCTTGTTAGCCTGTTTGCCGCCGTCACGGTAGCTAAGCAACTGGACCTGGGGGCGGGAATAAAAACGAGGCTACTACTGTCCGAATTCAGAGCCGCTGACTTCCGGTTTAAGCGGTCTAGCAAGGACCCGGCCTTGCTAGACCGGCGAGGACCCGTACTCACAAGCATCCTACCTCTGGATTCGGACACAGCCTCTGTCCTCATTTAACACATCCATATACCATACCTGTAATCCATTATTCTACTACATCTCAAAATGTATCCTTTGTGCATGCACAAACTAAGTCTTGTCTGCCATGCACCATCTCCAAACATCTTAGCTTAATCCCAGAGATTAAAAGAGACAATATAAAAAAAAGAATGTGTAAATGACTGAAAGTGTATGCAATTTGCATTGCAGGAGTTTTGTCGCAATGTCTATCCTGTCCTGGAACATTTGAGCAGGTGCAGTGCTAACAGACTGCAGATCTCCCACCTGCATGAAGCTTTCTGCAAACTACACAACATTTTTATCTTAAATTTTAAATCTTATTTACAAAATTATTGCATTTGTATTCTTGGTACCCTCAAAATCAAGACCCCGCAACTGCTGGCATCGTGCTGTAGGCCATGCGGCAGAGTTTTGACCTTCCAGTCGCCCTGTCTGGCATCTTTGGCTCTCAAGAAATCCCTATGTAGTAGCACATAAATACTCAAATTAGTGACATTGTTAGCACAATAAAAACAACTTAGGAACTGACTTTTGATGACCAGATTCACACTACCTCCAATTATGGAGAATTTTTCTTTGGTAAATCCTCTCATGGCCAAGGGGGTCAATCACAATAACCTCCTTTTGATCCATCCTGACTGATGGCCACTTGGCTGAGTCTGAAGAAAGAGGCTCATCACCTTCAATGGGACTCATTGGTTGATCGTTTTCAGGCTTCTCTATTGACAGAAAACAGAAGCGTAACTCAACACATTGCTATGTGGACCATTTCACATATTCTATTAAAATACAATTTGTGACATTCAATTTTCTCTAATGTTTGCAGGACACACACACACACACACACACTCACACACACTTGTGCAAAACTTACCTGACGTATCATGAAGGGCAGATGTGGCAGCTGGCTGTCCCTCATCAAGTTCACATATACTGGTAGGTCTCTCTATTGACAGAAAAAAGAAGCATAACTATGAAGGTCAATCTGTTTCAAAAAGCACAAACTTGTAGATCTGTTGTGTGTATTTGTACTACATGATGGGTGCTTGAAAACAGTGTGTGTGTGTGCGTGCAGTACAGTGTGAGGAGCTGTACACCAATACCCGTAAACCTGCAAAGCTAAATTTGTACCTGTAAGAAACACTCACATGCATGTGAAATAAAATACAGTTGTGTGTGACATTTTCAACTACAAGTCTGTAAACACAAGTGTACAGATCATAGACTGTACATACTGGACAAACGGATTCCATTGCCTCCAATAACACGTTTGTTGTCTATAATGGGAGGTGGCCACCACCGCCATTTTGACCGTGTCACAGGTTCCGTCCAGCCCAGACAATTCCATAAAAGGGAAGAGAGGAGGCGCTGAGGGTGTGGCTGTAAGGCTGGGCTCGAGTGACGACACCCAGGCGAACTAGCTACGAGCTAACCTGAAGCTAACCCTGGCTAACCCAAAGCTAAACCGGAGGTGGGAGCCGAGCTAACGGATGTAGCCACCTGCTTCAACCCAACCGGAGCTAACTGGAACACCCATCGACCTGAACCTTACACGGAGTTTAGGTGGAGGTTTTCTGCGCCTGTTCGTGAGAAGTACCTGTATTAAAAAAGTTTTAAATCGGTAAGTTTATAATTTATTTCCGTAATGAAAACATTTTGCTTTGAGCAAGTTTTCAGTACAGTTTTTTTCGGCGCTATCACTCCTGAGTCGCACCAGCCATTAAATGTATCATGAAGAAGAGAAAATATATTTAAGTCGTATTTTCGGGGGACATTTTATTATCTTTCTTACAAAATCTGAGACCAAGCGTTTCACATTGCAACACAAGCACCGGTAACCATAACAGAATGAACAACAGCCAGCAGAGGAGAGGATGGCAGTGTTTCAAACCCTCCCGGCCGGCGAGGAGAGCTCATTCCTGGGCTGGAGCCGGCCCTCAGCACCCCGCCACAGGCTCTAACAGATGCTGGCGGTGTTTGAAACCCTTCCAGCGGGACAGGGGAACTCATTCTTGGGCGGGTCGGAGTCGGCCCGCAGCAGCGCGGTGTAGCCTACATATTTTGTTATATAAGTCGCTCCGGAGTATAAGTAGCAGGACCAGCCAGAATATGTAAAAAAGTGCGAGTTATAGTCCGGAAAATATGGCAGTTATTAGTATTCGAGCTAAATTAGCAGCGTAAATACATTTCATATATTTCCAAAATGTGATACTTGTTTGTATCTTGTACAGCCAACTAGTCTTTATTCTGGACTCAGTACAATTTACCAAAAGTAAAGAGACATTCTACAGATCAAGTAAGCACAAGATAACTTACTGGAAGACACAGGATTATCATGAGAACCAGAACAAGAGAGCCTGATAACAGTCATGTGAAAATAACAGTTAAAAAGTATGTATGTATAATAGAAATAAAAATATATTAGAATTAGTGTAACTCACTGTGATCCAAACAATAAATCAGCCATAGCTGATTAGTAAATATGACATGAGGTCTGGGAGTTTTTAATTTTCATTTTTATTTTTTTGTTAGATCTGTTTAAATGTCACCATGGCAGCCTGTGTGTCTCCAACATCAGCTACACAACGCAGCAAGTGTAAGTTCCACATACCTGTCTCACCACTTCATGTATGGTTTTGTACTTTAAACAATTATGACAAACCTGTTATTTTTTCTCCATAGCCATTTGGATCATTGGAGACAGCTATGTGAGGCGTGGTGCCCAGAGAGCTGCAGAGACAACCTTGGCCTCCCTGACGTCTGTGTCTCCTGGTTCGGTTGGGGCGGACCATCGACATACATACATGTGCCGACACTTTGCGCCCTGTTTTATAAAATGTAGTGTTAAAAAGAAATGTTTTTGCTCAATTACTGGAATTTCTTTGGTTAAGACAAAAGTGAGGAATAATCATTTACAAGTTATTTGTACAACAGGCCCATTTTAAATCCCAACAGTTTCTTAGCAGACAATAGAAATGTGTTCTTTACTAACTTTACTTGGTTTAAAACTCTTACTAAAATAGTGCCGTATTGCAAAACCCAATCATACTTGTTATGTAAACATTAGCTTTGTAGATATTTTTTACAGATATATATTTGTGTGCAACAAATCCAAATAATTTGTCATTCTTTATTGAAAAACAACAAAATACAGTTATACAGAAGTGTGGGAAAATGATAATGTGAAAGTATTGCTATTTAAATGTAATCCTATTTATCTTTAAAAAGAAAAACTCTAAAAATGTCCTGTACAGCATCATGACAGAAGAATGGTGGTCTGTCTGTCAGAATGTGCTGAACAGATTTGCTCTTTGAAGAGGAGTGTCATGTTTGGAGGAAGGTACTTAACCCAAGACATGCAGAATACAACACTGACCAAAAACTGATGGAAAAAATGATTTATTTATAAGGAGGAACTTAAGGTGCACAGATAAGTCTGTGGTTGGAACTGCAACAACAGCTCAGCATCTGGAGGAGGGAGAACACAGGTGAGCTTAGGTTCTGGTTTCAAAATCCATTGTAGGCAGGCAGAGGTGTTCAGCAGACTTACTGTGGTGGGTGTATGTGTTGGCTGGAGGAGGGAGAGGTAGAGAGCCGGGGGAAGCGCAAGAGAGGGAGCAGAGGTGGAGAGAAGCGGGGCGTCCTGGTGGATGGGGCACTGGGTGAGATGAGAGGTGGGATATGGAGGCTGGTGATAAGGTCCGTGTGTTGAATATCCAAATCCTGGAGTAGAGGTCAGTATCCAATGAGGTCGACAGGAATCCTGAAGAATGGTAAATCCAATATAAGAGCAAAAACACTACGAAATAACATTAATCCTAGGAACACTAGAGGTAACACGAGTGGCTGGTTACTACCAAAACTGAGGCAATCTTCTGGCATCAAATTGTGTCCTCCATCCACCTTAAATAGGAAAGCACCCCGCTGATTGCTGATCAGGAACGGCTGGGGTGGAGTCACCAGAACCATGAAGAACGTGTCTCCAGAGACAACTCGGGTCCTGGTACCAATCAGGAAGCAGACCTTATCACCCAGAGCTGCCAGGTCACGCTCAAAGCCTTCATGTTCACGCTGCAGAGCCTGAACGCTGGCCAGGTCGTGGCCGTAGTTGTCTGTGTTCAGGGCCTGGTTCTTCTCCTCGATCCACTCTTTGGTCTCATTAGCGTCTCTGAGAAGACATCAGAACTCCGTCTGAGTGTGGGTCCAAACTCTACTGACCCGTAAGCGGCGCATAAGTGTGCGGGGTACCTGTGGAAGCGCTGCACCTCATGGGCGCTGCCCAGCATGTTGCTCCGGTCTTCAGCCAGCTGTTGCAGCGAGCGCCAGTGGTTGTTCAGCTCCTGGAGAGAAACCAAACCCAGTGAGATGAAGGTGGACGCCAGCGGGCTGGACGCCGGACGAGGAAACCTGGAGACGGATCGCTCAGACAGGAAGGGAAGAGCTTCCTCTTACCTTGATGGAATTAAAGTTAGCCGTCGTCTGAACGCCCAACCGTACGGTCTGAGGTCAAAGGTCACAGGAAACACACACCAGTCAGCAGTCATACAGATGCATAAAGATAACTGTAGCCATGGCAACCAGCTGACATGTCCCCACTTTCACCAGCACCTGGTGCCTGCCGGGTCACCTGAATTCCTGTGTGATGTCAGCACGGTCGGCCGTGACTGCGGCCATCAGAGGTGACCTCTGATCAGCTGAATGAACTCACCTTCTAGGGTGACGCCGTCTTACCCCGGGTTTCCACGGGAGCCGTCAGCAGCACGTTACTGCAGCAGCACGTCTTGCTTGCGTAAGCTGCTGCTTGGCCCTTCCCACGAGACGCGAAGCAGCAGGGGAGCAGCTGTCACCGACCGAGCACGAAGTCACACGAGTGACTTCGTCAGTAAACACAACAACAAGCAGGAGAAAACTACAACATGGTTTGTGTTTTATGTTCTGTCCGTTTTATAATCGCCAATGCAGACCTGAAAAACAAAGGAGACCGCTAGCTAGGTGATAACTTCTCACGGGGACGAACAGTTAGTAACTGTTTTTAAAAGTAAAGCAACCGGAAGGCAGTACGTTCTTTATTCTGAAAATCTCGGTAGCTTCTCTCAATTTCCGCGTCCGATTTCCTGTCTTTCCTTCCCCAAAAATGTCGAACTTGACCCGTTTCAGAGGCGTCGCGCGTAGAAAATAGAACCGGCGCGTAAGGGCCGCGACATGCTGCTCCTGAGACGTGGCCGACTCGCGCTGCTGACGGCTCCGGTGGAAAAGGTTCTGTTGACCACAGCGGTTCCTATCAGCAGCTATGACGTGCTGCTGCAGTAACGTGCTGCTGACGGCTCCTGTGGAAAGCCGGGGTCAGAGTCGGCTTCATACTGTAAACAAACAAATGAGTGGTAACAAAAACACCACGTCTGGTTCTGGTGGAGGCGGAGAGGACAACACGCACCTTTCCAGGAGCAGAACCCAGATGTTCTTGTTGCTACAAACAGAGACGAGCAGAGTTAACAAACCAGGAAGTGAGAGGGACCAGCTGCTGCAGACAGGTGACGCTCACCTGAGCCTGAACCATAGGAGCCTCCTCAGCCATCAGACCTTCTGACTCCAGTTCAGATGGCACCTTGTTGATGTCCCTCAGGCGGGACTCGTTGGCCTTCAGGTCCTGCAGGACAAAAGCACCTGCTGATTATCACCTGAGCTGATCTGACAGCTGCTGCTGGAAGATGGAGAGGAGGAAAAGTCCGACCTTCTGGAAGTCGTCAAACTTCTTCTGCAAGACCTCGACCTGCTCCAGGTCCGACCCGTCTCTCCATCCTCATTCAGCTAAAGACGCGAGTTCAAGTACAACAACCTAAAGTCACACAAACACAAAGCAGGTGTGGAGATGTTCGCTTGTCCCAACGTCCATGAAGCTCCCACAGTTTAGTCTTCACTTCTTCACCAGCAAAGTGACCTGGACCCAAACAAAGTGAGCCAGAACCTGCAGACACCTCAGAAACATGTCAGGACCAGACCTGCTCTACCCTCCTCCACCATGGTCTCTCCTTTCTGGGTGACAGCCTTGATGCGAGGTTCATGACCTGTGATCTCAGCCTGCAGAGCCTGGTGCTTCTTCAGCAGGTTCTGGACACCAATCAGGTCCTTCCCTGAGGACACATGTTAGAGTTCAGCATTATGCAGTAGACAGACCAGTTTAACCTAGGGGTTTCTTTCTTCTACAATCTGCTCTTTAACTGTATTATTTCCTGCTATTTCAGCTGTTAACTTTATTTTTTCTCTAAGTGTTTTTCTCCCCAGAAGAAGCTACAACTATGTTCTGCTGAGCTGTGGTGGCCTCATGGAGGGGGCCATCGTCTAGCACACTGCTGCTAACCACTTAAACATTCTCCCTCTCCTGATAGTAACATTTTACTTTCTTTGATGTTGGATGTACTACTGCTAGTTTACCTGTTTAATTATAGATTCACTAGGATAAATACAATAAAGTTTATCTCTCGCCAAATAGAATATTTACTAAGAAATCACAATGTAACGTGTGTGTGTGTGTGTGTGTGTGTGTGTGTGTGTGTGTGTGTGTGTGTAAAAGCCATGTGTAGTGTTTATTTATAAAGCATATGTTGTTGGATTTTATCCAGAATCGAGACTTTGAAAATATATAGTTTAATTACAGTTTGATTTATTTGACATCTGTATAATGTTTATTGTTTTGTTTTTTCCCCCTAAATACCTAACGTTTGAGTTTAACATGAATATCAGTCATTCATCCCAATACATGAAGTTACACATTTTAAATTTTAATAGGGGAAGACTGCAGGAGGGAGCGGTAAAATACAGGGGGTCCCCTGCAAAAACTAACTTTACGAGTCTGATGAAACTTGCTGGTGTTCCCGCTGCTTCTTCGGTAAACAGCGCCAACAAAAACAAAGAAACTTGGGATCTTGTTGGCGTGGCGGTGGGATATAAGGGAAACGCTGTATGCCCGATAGACTTCTCAACGAGCTGCAGTATTTCTCCGGTCAGATCTGTCTCCGAGTTCCACGAGCGGTCAGCCCGCAGCAGCGAGGCGCCGCATCGGTCAGCCTGCCCGGCCTGACCGCTGGGGATTACCGGATGAAAGAATGGAGCACAGAAGTGTCCCCCCAAGCGGCGCGCCCCGTCATATTTCAACCCATTTTTATCTTAAATGCACTGGGTTTTACCCTATTACCCATCTAAATATGCCCTATTAATTATTTTTACCGTATTTTACATTTAAATTTCATGGTTAAACAGTACATGCTACATGTTAAACTGATAGTTAGCTAGCTACTTCGGTAAACTCAGCTAGTTTAAAGGCGGCAGTGACATAAAATACGAATATAGATTTTAACTTACCGAAAAAAATGAAGTGGAGACTCCTTGGACGCTCTATTAGTGCAATTAATACCACTGCAAGTCATTTTGTCCAACAATTGCACCAATAATATCCAAAACAGAATTCACAAGCACAGAGACTCAAAATCCCGAAACAGTTTCCAGGAGGGACCGAGGCTGTACTGAGGCCTTTCCACGGAGCTAGCTCTGTGGTCACGTGGGTCTGAGGCGGCGGTCACGTGTGTCGGCTGCTCATTAATTATACAGAATTTTAGGCTTTCAATACACTTAAACAGAAGAGTGAGAAAAAAAATTCACCCCCCTCAGAGTTGTCATGAGTATAAACTAGATAATTTAGACAAAAAACATGTTCTGGTACCAGGCTGTAAACATGTTTATTTCTGCTGTGAAATCGGCATTTTTAACATGGGAGTCAATGAGGATTTGCTCGCTTCTGGTACCAGCCCCCAGCGGATGAGGGTGGAACTGCAATTTTTCTTACTTCCGGGATGGGACCATTTTTAGAGCGGCATTGTGGGGGCTTGGTACAGATCTGTTTCTGCACACGCTCAACTTTTTTATTACAAATGCACAGCTTCCCTCTCACACATCTGATTTTTGAAACTATTTTCACGATTAATATGTGTCAAAATGCACAAGTTTGTAAATGTGTTGTCTGAGTCCGTACAACACAGTGTGGGCTTGAAGATTGGATGTGAGTGTGTGTACCGTAAAATGTGAGTTTGAAGTTTTGAGGTGAGTGTCTGTGCATTAAAACGTGAGAAGCTGCACATCAACATGTGTGCAATTGTGAAGATAAATGGTACTTGTAAGAAAAAGTAAATTGTATGTGAAACAAAATAAACTTATATGTAAAATTTTCTTCTGCGACCCAGTAAATACAACTTCTCAAATACGTTTCTGCGCATGCTCAGTTGTTGTTTTACAAGCGCACAACTCTCCTCTCGCGAGTCTGACTTTTGAAACACTTCTGGCAGTTTGTGTGTTGCAAATTGCAGCTGTGTGTATCTGACTGCAGAGGCTAGCTAAAGTTTATATGAGCTGCTTTGCTAAGTTAGCAGAAACAAAAACGCCACTGCTAACACTGTAGTCTTGCATTAAGGCCACTGTGCTTGGGTATAATCCCAGTGGTGTTTCTCAATGTCAAGGCTTAGAGGGCACTGTCCTTCCTTGGTCAAAGAAAACAGTTAAATGGAACTGACTTGCGTCACATGACCAGGGCTCCCGTGATGGTCACCTGACGTGCGGCAAAGTTATAAACATTTTAGATATCAGCCTGATAGTTACAATTAGTTTTTTTATTCACTAGTAAAACAATAAAAAGTAATCATTTGAAACCTTTAACTCTTGTTTCCTTTCTCAGGGATCCTATTAATAATAATTGTTACATGTTATATTTAAAATCTGCATTTGATTGCTCTTTTAGTAACCCTTCGTTTTTTGTTTTTCAGGAACTGCTGCTCAACTATCTGCTTGAAAGACTTTACAACCGTGTGTCTAATTGGCTTGATCGAGTTCCTCTAGATCTCAATTTTTTTGAATTTGTATGTTGTCAGGAGCCGGTTATTCTGAGTGCTATCTCAAACCAGTTTGACGTCCCTCAGGACATTTTAAATGCACTTGCCCAAGTTTATCAGATGACCTGCAGTCAAAATAAAAAAGAAGCACAAATTATTGTTGCTCACGAAAGAGGAGCCATTGGTCGTCCCAAACTACTTATTCCTGAGAAATACACACAACACCTCATTTCTTTAGGTTTACCTGTCACATGTATTGCACAGCTGCTGGGGATATCTAGAGTTACATTACACAGGCGAATGAAAGAATGGGGTGTGTGAGCCAAACTTACAGCACCATGACTCACGATGAGCTGGACTCTCTAGTGTCACAGATCCATGCCAGAAACCCAAATGCAGGGTATAGATTGATAATAATAATAATGCATTGAACTTATATATCGCTTTTCAAGACACCGTGATGAAAGGTCTGCTGAAGTCACAAGGATATAGAGTTCAGTGGGAGCATGTTCGGTCCTCAATGCGCAGAGTAGACACTGCAGGCGTGGTTTCCTGAATGTCCCATCTCCGTTGTGTGGTCAGAAGAACGTATTCTGTGCCTAGCCCAAAATCATTTTATTGCAGGAGCTTTACATTCCACAGATTGAATGGGAATCCAGTGACTCATCGACAATGAACACAACTCTTGTGTTCAAGTTCCAGAAGTTGAATGCCCGCTAAGTCCACGAGGATATTCTGGACTCTGTGCAGCTGTGGGTCCACTGAGGTCAATCTTGGGATTGACAGTTATTTAGCCACACGGCATTACATGCAAACCATTGGCTATAATAAAATATTTCATTTTTTGCATCTTGTCATCAATGACTTGTATAAAATGTCTGTGAAGGATCTTGACAAGTCTCCATTATCTAACTGAACACGTTATTTTAATCTCCATGTTATCTCTTACCACATCTGAACTTGAAAGTACAGATTAAATGACTCATGAGCATTTGAAAATGTTTGCATATTAATATTCTTCGATGGAAAACTAAAAGAATTAAACCTTCATACGTTAAAAATATAGTAATGTTATTGTGTGTACTAAAAATCTAACTGCCCTTTCTTATTCTCTTGGATATTAAAATTCCCAAATTTGTGAGAATAATGTGTCATGGCTCGAGGTAAGTGCCTAACCCAAGACATGCAGAATCATCACACAAGTCCAAAAAATAAAGTAAAATGTCTTTATTATAAACGGAACTAAGAACTGCAACAGGGAAGTCCTGTGCTGAGGAGCCAAGACGGCTCGAGTCTTTGAGGTGTCGGTGCTGCGAGGAAGTGTAGCCGGGAAGGGCGCTGAGCAGAGGATGAGAGATGTCGTAGGAGTGAGGCAGCAGAGGGAAATCCGAGCCGGAACGTCGGAGGAGGACGGGACGTGTAGAATAATCCAGAATTGGAGACAGCGAGGGTGAGATGATGATGATGAGGTGATCCTGAGCGAAACAAACAGGTATAAGGGAATATCCAAATCCAAATCCGAAACTACGATCCAAGGTCAATAATCCAAACACGAGTTAAACAGGGTTCAAGGTCGAGTGGCTGGTGCTACCTGAACTGGTACAATCATCCGGCGAAATGAAGTGTCTCCGTCCTCCTTTTAAACCCGCGTTCCTGATTAGGGAATCGTCTGCAGCTGTAGTTCCCTCTGCTCCCCACCTGCGGAGAATGAACTCAGGTTCTGGTGAGAGGAGATGATGGAACTCACCTCTGCTCAGGGACATGACAGTGCCCCCCCCCCCCCCCCCCCCCTCAACGGACGCCCCCTGGCGTCCCAGCACGGGATCTGGAGGCCTCGAAGTCGGAGATCAGAGAGGGATCCTCGATGTAGGAACGGGGAACCCAGGAACGTTCCTCCGGACCGTATCCCTCCCAGTCCACGAGATACTGGAAACCCCGACCACGGGGGCGGGAGTCGAGGATGCGCCGAACCTTGTACACCAG